AGATTCAATAATTGTGCAAAATTTTAAATAATTGCTGGAATTTCTTTGCGTCGCCTGACGACTCAATTACATAATTTAGTGAAAATTATATGTAATTTGCATGAAACATTTATAAATCGTAACATAACAAACTCGAAAAGTCGTGGGTTCGAATCTGCCATTCGACAACTGTAGTGAACTCGTACTCCTAGCGTAGCATTTTTTTTTAAACTAATTTGCGAGTAGTTGGCGGGAGTATTAGCAATATTAATAACCGTTGCTTCTATTCTTTTTCCGTTTGTCCCAAATTTAAAACATAGTAAATGTTTTCGTCAAAATAATGTTAAAATTAGATAATTCTAAAACTAAGCGTTTTCGGAATGTAATATTAGAGGATTTATTTTATATTATTCTAACTTTGTGAATAATTAAACTGAGTAATTAAACTGAGTGACAGGATAAGAAATAGTGAAATAAGGAAACGTTGTGGTCTGAAAGAAGATGTAGTGACAAAAATTAAGAAAGGTATGCTGAGATGGTTTGGCCATGTCGAGAGAATGAATGAAGAACGATTGACCAAAAAAGTGTATAAGGCGAGTGTGAATGAAAGTGTTGGAAGGGGTAGACCTAGGCGGATGTTTCTAGACCAAATCAGGGACGTCTTGAAAAAACGTCAGGTCAAGAGTACCCCTAAACCGAAGAGCATGTATGAAGGGAATAATGAAAGTGGACGAAGCGAAACAAGTATGTAAGGATCGTAGCAAGTGGAAATAAGTGGTCTCTGCCTACCCCTACGGGAAAGAGGCGTGATTATATGTATGTATGTATTATTCTAAGCCAGTGCGTAACTACAATCCGTCCTTATGGAAAGTGGTGATGTAGCCTAAGATGGTGAAGCGCACTGATTTAACAAAAGAAACACAACCTAACGAAACACTAATGCCGGCAACTTATTCCACTCCTTTGCTGTACGCATGATGAACGATGTAGCAAACCGTTTGGTTCGAATGCGTGGTAAGTCTACAACGTAGGGGTGGAGACTGACCGAATGTCTGGTTATCCGATGGTGGAAGGGAGAAGGAGTAATTAAATTGTGCAATTCCTGCGCACACTCCGTAATGCATCCTGTAGAAAACCGAAAGGCTGTCTACTTTGCGCCTGTGTTCGAGACTGGTAAGATTGGTTTTAACCAAATTCGGGTCACCAATAAGCCTCTTAGCACGTCTTTCGATTGAGTCCAAAGCTGCTAGGTGGCATTTTGCAGCACCAGCCCATATGGCAGCAATACTCCATGCACGACCGGACTTGCGTTTTATATAAAGAAAGCAGCTGACTCTTAGCTTCCTTGCAGCTGCTTTGGCCTTGGGACTCAATGAACCGCCCGAAGTTCATATTTGAGGATATCTCAACCCCCAACAACTGAAGGCGGTCGACGTACTCCAGTGATACATTTCGGAAAGATGGAGCCAAGTTGAGCTGGCTCCTTTTTGCAGTGAAGAGACACGCTTGTATTTTGGAGGCGTTGAATTTCACAAAATTGGTATCTCCCCATTCGGAGACTGCCTGTAGTGTAAGATTCACACGCCCTACCAGTTCCTCTTTCGGACTGCATTTGAGCCTGACTGTCCCGAGGACTTTATTGGTATCTCTCCACAACTGTGCTATCCGGACCGGGCATAAGCAGATCATTAATATGCAGCAGGAAGAGAGTTGCGGAGAGGACGGTCCCCTGAGGCACACCGGCGTTAGTCGCAACAGCATCCGATGAGCAGCCATCGACGACGACCCGGAGTGACAGTTCACTCAGAAAATCCTTTCTTTACCCAGTCAATCAGACCAGGAGATAAGCCGTACGCTGAAAGCTTACCCAAAAGGCTAGTGTGCCAAGCTCTGTCAAAGGCCTTCGAGACATCAAGGGAAACAGCAAGTGCTTCCCCACTGTTCTCGAGTGCCTCGCCCCATAGGTACGTGTGTGGCATACGCTAGAAGGTCCCCAGTTGACCGATTTCGGCGAAACCCGTATCGGCGGTCACTAAGGAGGTCATTCTGTTCTAGGTAAGCCATTAAGCGGGCGTTCAATATACGTTCCATAAGCTTGCCGAGTATGGAGGTAATTGAGATTGGCCGATAATTAGCAGGGTCGGCACGGCTGCCTTTTTTTGGAACAGGCTGCACGTCGGTCAGCGTCCAGGAATTTGACACTATTCCAGTCCTAAATGAGAGGCGGAACAAGCGTATCAGCACAGGAGACAACTCAGGTGCACAAGCCTTTAGAACTATATCTGGTATACCATCTCGTCCACTAGCTTTATTACTACGTCTAGACACAGCAAGGTTTTAAGAACCTCCTTATTTGTGGTAATTTAGGTGGAACGTTGTTGCCACTTTCCAGACGTGAATTGTAGACAAAGAGAGACGCGAACACGTCCGCTTTCCCTTTAGCTGTATGCGCCAGTGTACTATCCGGAATTACCAGCGGAGGCAGTGTAGGCCGACAGAAGTTTGTCTCGACCGCTTTGGAGAGAGACCACAAAGCTCTAGTGCCGGATGGTCTGGCAGAGAGTTTTACGCGATGTTTAATGCGATCGAGACTAGCTTTCCGTAATGCTTTTTTGTAAGACTTGGCAGCCTGGTTGAAAGTTCTTTTCTGGAGCTAATATCCGGAGCTTTGCAGTTTCGAGCGTCCACCCAGGATAGGTACGCTAATTGCTTGCATTTTTCAGCTTGGGCGCATTCAGCGTTAAACCATGGGCGATAACACCAAAGAAAATGAATATGCCTCTAATTCATTACAATTTTGACCTTCAAATCGAATGGACGTTTTGTGCAGTTAAACCAAAAACATGGTACAAAAATGTATTTACTTGGATGAATAAAATAATAATTTCTGTTTTCAAAATTTTATGTCATCCCACCATAAAATGTAAAAAGTTCGGTACAAACACTATTTAGTGGTGATAAAAGTTGACATCTGAAGGGGCGCCATGTTACTACATAGCCGTTCCAAGAATGGGCTTAGTTTTCCATTGACGTCCATCTGGAGGTTGATATTTTTTTTACAGAAAGGTTACGTTATTATAAGCACACACGCAAAGTTTCAACATGCGGAAACGCGTACTTTTTGAGAAAAAAATTATTGAAAACCAATTATTTTTGCAATATTTATGCCAATCCCCATTGACGTCCGTCAAGTTAGGTGTTAATATTTTTTTTTAGAGAAAGGTTATATTATTATAAGCACACACACAAAGTTTCAACTTCGACATTGTATCAAAATATGTATACATTAGGTGTTGGATACATATCAACCCCCAACTCGACGGACGTCAATGGAAAGTCGTACCCAAGAATGTTGTACAATCCTATAGATCCTATGATTTAAGCATATAATCAGAATCACATTTTTCATAGATTTGACTCGTCAATTCTCCTCATGTTAAATACAAAAATAATGCCCAAATATTTTTAATTTTTCCAAAATCATTTTACTTAACTCATCAAACATGGGTGTAAATGTAAATGTGGTATTCTATAATTTATTACAGGAAGTGTTTGGTAACACTTAATGGCAATTATTCCTTTATATTGCTGACAATACTATTACCATAATTGTTTTCATTTTGTAATGGTGGGTGACAATAATATATAAATATTGCATTTAAGAATAACTCAAAGTTCTTTATTAGTTTTAGAATTATCATTTTACAAATTATGCAAAAACATGATTTTTTATGTTACAAAAATAGACTTCAAAAATTTATTAACACTATACATTGTCCAAAACTTTACTTGTAGTGTTGTGTAATTATTTTGAGAAATACTGGCTACTTTACTACTGTTTTGTTAGTACCTGGTAGTTTTGTATATGGCTGAGCCATGCTGCAGCTATATTAATTGTATAGTTGTAGTACTAATGCGTCGGCTCAACCGGGGAAGGACCACGCTCACAGAATACCAGCATAAAATAGCAGCTTAATACTGCTGTGTTTCATATGGTGAGTGTAGATAGCTGGAAACCGTTTTTACTGGAAAAGAGGCATACCATCTTAGTCATCACAGTTGACAACACATCTGCATTTTGATTCGCAAATGAGGATATCTATCCTGCATAAACAGATGTCTATGGGCTGTGACCACTCACCATCAGGTGAACTGTGTGCTCACTTGTCACTTATCCTATTAAAAAGAAAACCTATTTAAAAATAATTTCATATACAATCAATACATACATGAATCTCATCAGTTAAAATTTAAAAAAATGTATATTTGTAGTAATATTTAGCTACAAAATTATAATTACAATATTTGTTTAAAATTGTCATTCATTTGATTCTATTTACACTATTCAAACATTTATTGAGATAGTCTTATATATATATGAAAATGTATATTTTTTGTTCATATTTTAGGCGCTGCCATACCATTCATCAGATTGTGGTAAAAGTAAAACTTTGTTAACTTATTGCTTGCACTTGCACAAAGGTTATAGGCATAATACAATTAACTTACAGTAGGTGGCGCGCATATCGTAATTACAAATTTGTTTGAAAATTATATATCACAAGTCCGCGACTGTATATATTTTATTAATGGGATCTACAAACCCGTAGTACATCATTTTGTTTTATTGTCAATAGTTTTTGCAGCGCACTTAAAAATAGGCTTTCGATTTTACACCTTGTGTTACAAAATAGCAATTTTATTGCGTATCCCTAATTTTGAAAAAAAAAAAACATAGCCTATAGCCTTCCTCGATAAATGGACTACCCAACACTGAAAGAATCATTCAAATCGGACCAGTAGTTCCAGAGATTAGCGCGTTTAAACAAACAAAAAAACAAACAAACACTGCAGCTTTATAATATTAGTATAGATAATCATTATCATTCCTAATTAAACAAGAGTTATATTGTTATTCAAATTTTAAACAATATTTTTACAATTATTTCTGAGGCAGCAACTTGCCGGTCATCAAGTAGTTATGAATAAAAAGAAAACTAAATAAAAATCTAATTGTTAAATTATAAAAATCCTGTAAAAACTTCAAAATGATGATTTAAAGATGAAATGGTATGAAGTTTACTTTTTGATTTCAGTGCACCATCAAACATATTATCGAAACAAAAGAATATTCTTTTTACTCGCGCATGAACTAATGCCATTGAACACATAACACAAGGCTCTCTTATTAGATAAGCGTAATATCCAGTACATAAGTAAGGGCCATCGCTTGGATTTCCATTATATTCATCACTAGATATATCGCATTTACTTATAAATTTTCTTGCACCAAATCTGACACTGGGATATCTAGGTTTTAAGTAATTTAGTAATTCTTCACTTATACCACTCAATGTCCTATCGGGATTAATATCTTCAGTGGACCAAACTCCACCATTCTGTGTCTTTGCTACATTGTCTATGGCTAACATAGATGAATGTTGAAGAGGGTTAGCATCCCTATTATCAAAAGATACAGCAACCACTGATTGTGTTGTTGGATCAACAATTACAGCACTATTGATATTTCTAAAAACATCATCTTCATTAGTGTTTAGGTTTAAATGTAGAATATACCATCTAGATACTTCAAATGCTATTTCCATATAAGTTCTATGAAGGTTAAGCTCTGTGGGAGCAAAGAAGTTACCACTTACAAGTTTTTCCAGGTAAACATTAGGATGAAAGTTGCAGGACCAAATTTTGTTCCATTCTTTAAACTGTTGTTTTACTTTAGGGGGTGAAAGGGGAACATCTAACTCTTTAAAATACTGAAATGTGTCCTTTAGTTCTTCTACATTACATTCAATGTACTGTTGAATAGATGACATGCCAATAATAAAGTTGGTAGGACACAATATAACCTCTTTTTTCCTAATTCGCTTTAAATGTTGCAACTCTTTCAAAGGTATCTTTTCATTTAACATCAAAACAGTTCGTGATAGATCTTTCGGATCTTTAATAATACCAACAAACACTTTTATTAATGGTATTGACTTCTGAAAGTCATCACTTAACACAGGTTCTAAGTTTTTTTGAGAATTTTTAATGTCTTCAATACATTTATCTATTATTTTGTTACAATAATCATCTTCATTAGCAAATGTTTTTGCTTTTTTCACTGGAGGTTCAATTTCAACGGACATTCTGTGTAAAATATCTTCTTAACCCACTGGTGTACTGAACTTTTCTGCTGAAAATAAACAATAACAGCACTTTTTCATCACACACACACACGGACACTGTAGTAATCACTTTTTGATTGAAAACACGATTATAAGAACTATCATATTTTATCTAAGAAAAATAAAAATGTTGATAGTATAAAAATTAGGTTATGATCTCAAAAATGGCTACAGAAACGCAATTTTAAGAAAATGGATAAGATACAACCATCCGCATTTCTCTTTGCAATGATGCCAAAACAAATAGAGAATTGTCATGAATAACCTGAACAATTTCAAAAGGGGCATGTTAACAATTCGTAAATTGAAATTATTTACTGACTGTATTTAATTATGTTTATAAACTACACGCAATGTGACACATTTTAAAATAAATTAACTTTTACATTTGAATCATTTATCAAACAAAAATATATAACTGGATTAATTTTTGAATTTATTATTTTTGCTATTGTACTATTTTATTATACAATATTAAAAAACTGTAATAAAAAAAACTAAAACTAATGACTTAACTATCATACAGTCCTACTTCCCCTGGTATTGTACCAAGAATGCTGGTTGCATTTCCTCACTTAATGGCTATACTTAGTTTTTGAGCAAGAACCAGCCCTCTTATCACCAGCAGCAACGACTGGCCTGGGTAGAGTTCCTTTAGGAACTTCACCACACATAGACCCCACGGACCAAGTCTCTACAGCTAATAGCACAAATATGTAGTCATCTCTCAAAGACTCATATTGGCGCCACTTACTCAGTTAAGCTTCCTCTGACGCCACTCCAGCTCTAAACGAGGTACGTCTACGCAAGTAGCATCCTACACTAGGGCTTTACCTCTCTCCCAAGGGACCAATATAAATCAAAATAAACGTACCGTCGGGTCTCCTGCCATCGTCTCTAAATATTCCACAAGGCTCTAAAACCGATGGAGCAGTTATAGAGACAAGAGCCCTTTGGATGACATCGTTCAAAGAACCGTTGCATGAAAACCTACCAGCACTTTTCTTATATGAAAGTCCGTGGAATTTTGTATGTCCAAGTTTAATCAGTAAATAATTATTTGATCAAAAATCTAATTAACGACATGCAATCAACTTGTGACGAATATTTAACTGCATGCCTACTTTATTTCGATGATAAATAACTTAACATTAACATATAAATAGGAAATTAGTGACAAATTTACCTCGGTTTAGACTTTTTCGATGCCAACGAAAACTCCCATGTAACAATTTATTTAACTAAAGTCACTTATAATATAACATTATTAGGTTACACCTGCACCAGCTGGATAAAATATGAATATGTTTTATCAACAAAAAAAACGAAAGAAAATTTAATTTGCCACACATGTAAAACGCCGAGAACATAAGCCATAAAATCTGTTTCCAATTTCATAACTTCATCAATATTTGAATTAAGAGTGATTTGTATTAGTTTGTTCAAGGTTCATTTGATTTAATAAGCCAATAGCATGCTAGCTACGATTTGATTATAAGTTAACGATAATAAACTTTTGACATTTATATTGTAATCGAGAACAGGCGTTTTATTATCGTCTACATAGAGCATAGACTAAGGCATAGACACTCTATTAGACAAGTAACAGACAGAAAACTATAAAATCTATGTAAGTAACCCTTATTTAATAAGGGTAGATTACTTACATACTACAGACATAGATTTAGCGTAATCCAAGTTCTATAGGGCTAATATATTCCACTCACCAGAAGTCGCTAGTTGATACTGAGGTGAAGTTTTTTATAAGACAATGTCATTTAATTGAGAAGTTAGTATAAAAAAGTTTATCAGTTTCTAGAGTATTACATTATTACACAAAACAATGCTTTCGTGGTTTGCTCCTTAATTTTTTTGCGTATATTTAACTCTTTTTTTATATTTATCTACTTTTATGGCTATTTGATATGGTTTGGTTTATTTATTTTTAATCTAATTAATATAAAATGTAATTAAAATAACATTTTTGAGCAAATTAACTTCCCCGCTATGAAATCAGTCAAATATTACACCTTCCTGTATAGGACAGTTACTATACTCTTTGATTACACCTCATTTTTAAGTAGCGCCGCCCAAATGGCAGAAAAAGTCGTGGATTTTCATTTATATATTTTGGCATAAAATTGGATGTGTTCCGATATACACTGTGACTACTGTAAGATGTGACGTCAATTCAGTATACTGTGAAGAAGTTACTTTTAAGTTTACGATACTGGTTACTGTTTAAAATGGAACGCAGTCCAGAATACTGTCATCCCCCTTAGAGTGTTTATAAACTATATAGCACGTGAAAGCAAGTCAAAACTGTAAATAAGTGGTAGAACTTAATAGATATTCATAGATTACCTCCTAATAGATTCCGCATACAGGGCCACAAACGCGCGCAACACATACTTGCTGTAGCTAGCATACGAAACGAAGGTAAGAATCACGACATCAGTATCGACCAAGTTTGTGATCCGTAGGCACGTCCGAGTTCTTGACAATTTAAAAATAGTTTTGTATCCAAAATACATTACAAATGGCTTCCTGTGCAGTAAAATGGTGTGACAAGTCAGCTAAAACATCCAGTTATCAAAAAGATGGCATAAATTTTAATTGGTAAGTAAATTCTATTCTTATCACGTTAACCTATTTCAAATGCACCGGAGATCAACTTATACTGGTATATTAATGGTGCAAAGTGATAACAATTAAGCACCCGTTGATGTCTTTTTGAAATGTCCCTTTCACTCGTGACGTAAATTACAATAGTTGTCTTTGTCTAACAACAGTACGTGTATCGATAGTGTTGTGATTTTTAAGTCGATATTTGCTTGGTCATCGTTTAATTATTTTTTTCGAAGTCATATTATTTTATAAAAATAGTGACGTATCATTGTGGTACCTATATGTTATAGGTTTCCTAAATGCCCCGAAAGGAAAAAAGATGTGGATCGACGCAAATTGTCGAGGGGACGAATGGTTTCCCACCAAAAATAGTGTACTATGCTCAAAACACTTCACAAAAGACAATCTTCATAATATTATGAAAAATCGTATAAAGCTGTTGGATTCTTGCCAGTTTTGGTATGGACTTATGCATTTTTTTTTAAAGATTAGTACTAACGTAGATTACACAATAATATCATTAAGTGGTTGAGTGCAACATGATATTCTTATATTTAGGTAAATGTTACACGTCGAAATCAAGCTATTTTGAACGGATTTATAAATCATAAAACCTGTAAAAGTTATAATGTGATAATTGTTTTGACTTGGTATTTAGTGTTACATGAACTTCAGTATTATCTTATTATAATTATTAAGTACATCTAAATTTGGAAGACGTGCCGTATGGTATATTAATTGATAATACTATATCGGTAATGTTTTAAAAGAAACGAATATGTATTTCTGATTTAGATTACTGGTTCACCGCTGAAAGACGCGAAAAACCCGCCAACACCTAAAAATCAGAGTCATTGCTTAGAAACGCCTACAAAACAAAAAAGAAAATTTTCTCATATACCTGATACGCTATCTGCATTTGATACTCCAGTTAAAAACGTCTTTGTAGAAGAATCATCGAATTAACCAACGTAATGAACAAAAAAGATAAATAAGTTAAAAAGTTAAGTGATTCCAACAGAAGACTAAAAACACAAAAAGTTTCTTTGAAGTCATTATTGGTAGAATTAGAAAACAAAACTTCATTAGCAGCAGAAAACAATGACCCATTAAGTTCCTTAGAAAAATCAAAATCTAGAAAATCAGGCAAAATTGTTAGAAAAAAATATTCACCACAATTAAGAGCTTTTGCACTCACCATAAATTACTCAGCTAGGCTTATAATTATGTACGCAAAACATTTAATACTTCTTTACCTTCTGTAAAAACACTAGGAAAGTTTGTAGTTTTAACACAATCAATTAAGCTTAATTATAAATAATAATTATAATAAAATAATATATATAATAATAAAAATAATAAATATAAATAAATAAGCAGTTTTCTTAATGATGATATTTTTCATGAAATAAAAAAATCAATTCGATCACGAAAGTTGTAATCATGTCATTGATTTAGCTAAGAGTGTTATGGAAAAATACATAGACATACTCGTAAGATTACTCTACTCATCCAGGAAGACAGATCCTAAGAATTCTGTGAGACAATTTTATTCTAAGATTATCCATTTTAAAAATCAGTCAAATATATATTTATAAATTAAATGTACAAATATATGTATACAATGTTTAATTTTTTAATAAACATCAAATAAAAATTGATCAATATATTTATTTATCATTATCAATAATCAAGAAATCCCAAATTTATCGATCAACGTCCCAACCCTGTTCCATCACTATGGTTTGGTACATTCTAAGTTTGACCTTTAAATATCCAATCACAGCGCATCTGCCACGTCCCCCGCAACCCTTGCATAGGGCCAAATTTGGTGAACTCGAAACAGAACAAATATTCAATTAGTCTTGTGCATAGTCGGTCGCCATTGGGAGCGCTCAATTTAGTTCGTAGTCCTATAGCGAACTAGTTCGCTCATTTAGTTCGTTAGTTCTTTTTTAATTTTACAGTAGATCTTATTAAAAAAGATGAGTTTATTGAATGTCAGTAAATAAAAATTAATTGAATTTACGTTAAAAAAATTAATGATTTAATTAGTATGTAATATACTACATAATGTATAATATATGCATCATACTTATCAAGAACTATTTGATGATATGGACATTAAAATAAAATAGTAACACAGTGTAACCTTGATATAACAAACCTGAATATAACGAATTCCTCGGTTTAGCGAATTTTTCGAAATCCCCTAGAACTGCCTGTAAGAGCTAATGCAAAATGTAACTACATGACGAATAGATTTTATTATATTATTTATTGCGGAATATATATATATATATATATAAGATATTATTTATCTCTTTTTAACCAATTTTCGTGAACACTTCGAGCTTAGTGTTCCCAACAACTACCGGCATAGGTGTGACATGGACATTAAACATGATCTTTGTTTTGTCCATGTTCATCTTAAGACCTATCCGTTGGGAAACACTATTGAGGTCATTGAGCATAGTGCTTAGGTCCTCCAGCGATTCTGCCATAAGGACTATGTCGTCGGCAAATCGAAGGTGAGTGATGTACTCGCCATTGATGTTGATACCGTATCCTTTCCAGTCCAGAAGCTTGAAAACATCTTCCAATGCAGCGGTAAAGAGTTTCGGGGATATGACGTCACCCTGTCTTATACCTCTCTGCAATTGGATAGGTTTCGTACTCTGGTTCTGTACTCGGATAGCCATCGTAGCCCTACTGTACAAGCATTTCAACACTTCGATATACCGACAGTCAACTTGGCACCGCTGAAGGGACTGCAGCACCGCCCAAATTTCGACGGAATCAAAGGCTTTCTCATAGTCCACATACGCCAGACATAGTGGCAAATTGTACTCCTCTGACTTCTGTACAATTTGCCGAAGGGTATGTATGTGGTCTATGGTGCTAAAGCCTTTTCGGAAACCAGCTTGTTTGGGAGGCTGGAAGTCATCAAGTCTGCGCGCGAGACGATTTGTAATGACTCTCGAAAACAGCACGTAGACGCGGCTCAGAAGGAAAATTCGGTCTGTAGTTCTTCAAGAGAGCGTTGTCGCCTTTCTTGAAGAACAAAACCACCGCACTTCTGCTCCACGCCTCCGGTGTGATGCCACCATGGAGGACGGACTTAAAGAGCTTCTGAAGGACTTTAAGTACCGGTTTTCCACCCGCTTTCAGAAGCTCCGCTGTAATTCCATCCTCGCCTGGGGCCTCGCCGTTTTTAAGGTGCTGGAGAGCCATTCTAATCTCGCTCAGACTGACGTCTGGGATATCATCGGAATAATGTCGGATAAGACTCGCTCTTGGATCGTTACTCACACTTGCGTGCGGCTCCAACGATGACGTGTACAGCTGCCCATAGAACCTCTCATTCTCACTCAAAATCTCAGGTGCCCCGGAAACGATGCTGCCACATTCGATCTTCAGCTTTGACAGTTGGCTCTTTCTGGCAGACAAATCTCTGGCAAAGACTTTGGAGCCTTGGTTCCGCTCGATCGCTTCTTCAATACAAGCTGTATTGAAGTTGCGTAAGTCCCGCCGCATGCATTTGGAGATCTGTCTGTTCAGTTGCCTGTATGCTGTCAAGTCTGTTGAAGAATGTAGCTTCATTTCCCGTCTAACAGCCATGAGATTAAGAGTGTGATCGGAGAGTTTTTGTGTTCTTCTGCGGCGGGTCTTACAGAACTTAGCTCCGACCGCATGGACAGTTTCCACGAGCTTGTCATTCAAATCGTCCACTTCATTGCAGTCTTT